GCACATTTTATGTCAAGCGATTTTAAGTTAAAGCGTCATAGGTTAAAATAAGAAGTAAAGTCATAACCAGGACGATTTACAACAAAAGACTGGCTGTTGCCACCGCTGCTGCTTGCCTCGAGAGAGACCTGAAGATCAGAACAAAACCTGAAAGGCCTGATGTAGGCCCGGATTAGCAAGTTCTGAAGAGTTAGCTGGGACTCTGTCTGACGCAGTTAGTGTTGTAGCTCTGCGTAGAGTTCCAGGGGTTATGACTCAGTTAATAATACTTTAAGGTTCTAATAAGCCACTTATAAGCACTACAGAGGTGACACTAAGTTGTTTTGCATTATTTGAAGTCTCATTAGATACAAAGAATTAAGTTACATAAACTTTTACATTTTTGCGTTTTATCTTGTACCACACTAAGGATTAATGAAAGGCAATAACTCACTTTAATATGGAGAGATAATTTTAAGGGTAAGCAGTTAATTATAAATAAATAAATTAGGTAGTTAGGTAACCTTAGTCATTATGGATTGTCTCAATCTCGCTAGTTTCTGCATGCTTTATCTCCTAACTTGTCAACCTCTCCACAATGTACCTATGAAGGTTTACTTGATCTGTTAAGAGTTAAGTACAGTCAAAAGTCTTTAATCCGGACTCATCGGGACTTCGGCGATTCCAGATTATCGATTTTTCCGGATTATAGATCATCAGTTTAAATCTGGTAAGATGGCATGCAGAAATTCCACTTTTATCCAAACATACTTTCGTTTGGATAAAAGTGGAATTTCCAATCCAAACATACTTTCGTTTTGTAGATCCTTTGGGAGATCCAGCATCGGAAATTCTATTTGACATAATCGAAAGTTCAAGCTTACTTTTATAAAATTGCTCTTACAGTCTGCAAAAAATAATAAGCCAGATCCAATCCGAAGATTAAGGAACAACGCTATCATCAACATTAACTGAAATAGATAATTTTAGCTTATACTGTCTGTTATACATTAAACGCGCACGCGAAAACGTATTCTGCGCTTGCGCAGACGCATATGCGCAGCCGTAAAAGTCTTGCGAGCACGCATAAACGGCTATGCGCATGCGTCAACGCGCCGCATGCGTAGAAAGATTTTAGCTTTGAGGTCCGGATTATAGATCATTCCGGATTATGGGTGTCCGAATTAACGAATTTTGACTGTAGTCCAAATACCCCTGACAACATGAAGCAAGTTATCGCTATGTCTCAAAGTAACTACAAAGTCAGACAAAAGTTTAAGCCTCTTTTATTTAAAAAGAACTTAAAGGGCATGTTCTTATGCTAACCAAATCAGTTGCAGTTTGTGGTGATAGAATTAAACAAGAACAGTCAAAGTCGAATAAAAAATGTGGACTAGTGGTCAAAAACTATACAATTTAAATTTAATTTAAGCTGGCTCAGTTACTCTATCGTCATAACAAATTCAAATGTCAGCAGCGATAATGCAAAGACAAAAAGTTACGAATTATCAGAGCTGGCAGGAACTAATGCAGCGAGCAAGCGGAGATTAAAAACACACTCTGTCTTACATACCGAAAATCTCAGTCTAAAAACTGCCTAAGTGATTTGCATTCTGGGGAGGAAATAGAAACAGGAAGTTATAGTAAAGGCTGAAATTATAAACGACTGGGTAATTTACATAATAATACCTGTATATATATATCTGAAGAATAATTTTCTTTTTCTGTATGCATTCGGTTTTTTTCTTCAACACACTTCCTTTTCATTTTAGAATTTTTGGATTTAATTAAAGATTTCTGTTATTCTAAAAAACTAAATGCATTTAGAATGTATAGAAAAAGCTGCTAATTTCATTTCTTTGGTAATATGAACAATCAGAAGAAATATGAAATATATATGGTAAGGGCGAGTTGCAGAGCTGGTGTGACAGAATTTTTAGAATTTAGTGACACACCGAGCAACAAAATCTAGAAATGGCAAAACTTTTAAAATTTAGAGCATGCACTTCAAGCAGAATTTAGAAAGGCACTAGTCAGCAAAACTTAGGATCTACAGACATAAGTTTAATATTCCACATGAATGCACCAGGTGGAAAAATGCCTAACGTCGGACCTGTGTATGGTGCATTAAGACATATTAGATGAATCTTTTAAATTGCCAGTTTTCAATTTCTTTATTAATCAAAAAATTCCTGTCTATAATACCTGTCTATGTGATAAGATTAGAAGCATTTTTAATATTTTCCATGCTTGTGTCTAGTGAAAAGTAGAAAATAAAGGAAAGATAAACATGTTAAGAAAAAGATTCTAGTATCAGAAGTAAAACACTCAAATATTATGTTTTCATTGATCTTCCAGATGTTCTCCAAAAAGTAAGAAATTCCTTGCAAACTTTCTGTAAAATACATCCATTACGTAATAATACCATAGAGACATTTTTCATTTTGTCACATTTTTCTAGAACCTTCTGGAATCGTGGATCTTACCTTCAAATCCTTCTAAATTTTCCAAGTTGCAATGTCTAATGTCCCAAAGAAAAAGACCCCTATCAATTTTGTTACAGCAAACGGCCAGAAATATTTTGAAAAAAAAAAAAAAAAAAAAAAAGATGGAAAAAGTGTAAAATTAAATTTATAGAGAAGACTGATGCATATTCTGAGACAATTACTTGAGAAAACTTTTATCATGAAAAAATTAAAAAGAAGATATTTTGAATAATTATGTTATTTTTTAAATATAATTTCAATATATTACCATGATTTTAATGAAATTTATCAATGTTACAATGTTTAAAAAAAATCGTCAAAAAATTCCCAGATCTTGGAATTAAAAATTTTCTATACAAACTGATCTTAAAAATAGCCAAAATGTTAATAAGTTGCCAAATTTATAGCTTTTCAATAAAAGAAATCACATTCCCAAAAACTAAAAGTTGTTCAAGAGCTCTTCATTATAAAAAGTGCCTGTTTCATTTCTTGCTCAGAAACTCGAGTATCCCACCATTTATATTAGGAACAAATCATAATCCATTCAAATAACCATATTTATCAGTAAATGCCAAAAATATACCTCCAAATTGGTGATTCACACTCAAAATGGCAGTGATAAAAACAGACAGAAATTTCAGGATTAAAATTACGGCCCTTCTGGCGATTTTGGTCGAAATTAAGGACTTATACGGAGCAAAAATCGATTCCAAAACACTTAAGGACTTTTAAGGACTCTTAAGGACCGTACGAACCCTGTCTTTGATATGATTTAAATCAAATTCCTCGTCATTATAATTCGCTTCCGATCGCGAAGAAAGTGACAGAGAGTTATTGAAAACAAAAAAATTTCGATTGATAAGTTAGTCGGTATTCGCAACACAACAATTACAGGACTCGAACAGTGGAACTTTGTAACTGAACAAGAAATTATGTCTGTTTATAGAATTAAAAAGAAAGTATTGGCACAAAAAACAAACCAACTTAAACAACTTACATTGAAAGAAATGTTTAACACAGTAAACAAATAAATATTAAGCTTTTTTTTGTAAATTTTGATACCCTTTAGATCATAATTGCTCTTTATTTCATAAATTACAGTTTCATATTTTTAATTGTGTAATTTCTGTATGCAATCTTACCAGATTTAAACTGATGTTCTATAATCCAGAAAAATCGATAATCTGGAATCGCCGAAGTCCCGACGAGTCTGGATTAACGACTTTTGACTGTACTCAATAGTGTAAAATTAGATGAGGTTGCAATTGCTAGGAAATAATAGTAATAACATGAATGTCTAATAGTATGGATCTGATATACATATAACTAACATGGTGATGAGCAGGAAGTAAATTTTAATTAATCTATTTCTAATTAATTAATTTGTCCCAAAATATTTTGTAAATTCATACTTCAAGTGAACAATTAAATTCAAATTAAACTCTAGTACTGTTTTTTTCATGAATTATGGATTACTGATATACAAAACTATCGAAAAGAGAGGGGGGGGGAAAAAGATCATATTACATTTGCAAAAAAGTATTCTGATCTATTGTTATTATACTACAGCAAATTTTTAACTAATTCAAAATTCTAAATAAATATTAATCAACTGATAGAAAATCATTCTTTATATATCTGCAATGCATTAAAAGCAGCAAAAGGCTTGCCATGTATTAAAATAAATCAGTTCAAATCTGCAGACTAATAAATTTCTTACAATTAAAAAGATTTGCAGAATGCTCGCATTTGTATAGTACCAACAAATTAGTATAAAAATATACTTAAGCAAAAATTGTATAGAATCTGCTTAACTGGAATAAAGTAAAAGCATATGGCCAGAAAGTAACAATAAATAAAATAAATAAATCTTAATAAACTAAACAAATAAATACTAAAAAATAACTTTAATTACAATATCCTCTAAAGACTATAACTTAATTTAGTTATTTCCTTCTTTCCCCAGAAAAGAACATACTTATAATAAATCTGAAATATGTCATTTCAAAACTAATGCCCATTATTCATGTATTTAAATGAAGAGAGAAAAATCTTTTAGCCAATAATAATATGAAAATTTGCAAGCCAAAACCTTAACTAACCAACAGGAATAAAGTAGAACCATAACTGTTCTATTTTTAATCTAACCTTCATGCTGTAATCTAAGCATTATTTTTTTCACTTGCAGGTCTGCTAACATGTAACTCTTTGCTTAACTCTTTTACTTCAAATATACCATTAAATGTGAAAAGTACAAATATAGCTATGACTGCAAGTATGTCTTTACACATTAGCACATTCTTTATCATCCACACAAAAATTTTCATTACATTCATATGTTAATTTTTTATTTTTTTATGAAGCATATGTTTATAACTTTAAAGAACAAAATGTATTGAAGTGATTAAAAATCATATTAAGCTTTTATTAAAGACTTGTTTGATTCATATTGGATTTTCATATGAGAACAGTACTTTTTTAACGCAGTTTCTGCACAGAATTTTAGAAGAACCAATCTAATACGAAACACAGAGTTCAGTGAGTTTCTGAAATTTAAAATAAAAATTTAATACATTAAAAAAGTATTTTTTTTACCTGTGACAAGAAGCTCATATGAGATATCACTCTCTGTCAGAAGTGGAACCACACGTTCTTTAAATATCTGGCATGCTTTTCCAGGGCCACTTCTGGGATTAACAAGTATAAGAAATTTTCTAGCATGTGGACAAACATCTGGAATGTAAATTTCTAAAAAGAGAAAAATTAGTATATATAGTTTTAAAAAGCAATTATACATTAAGTATGCAATGCAGGATTTATACATCAAATAGCCACTATATTATGACCATCCACAGCTTTATCAGTACGTTTGTAGAGTGAACAGACACACATGTCAAAATCACACAGCACTTTCCCAAAACTTGGCTCTCTATTAGATGTGTATACAATCTCAGAGTATAAAAAGCTACCAAAAAAATGATAAAGAATAAACTGAAATGGCATGGCACATCAGAATCAGTAACTCTGAAATGATACAATTTATGGATAGCCCATAATTACAGTTATCAATAACTATCAAAACACTATTGGATCATCTGAAAAATTCTGCATTTCTTCAAATTGCAGCATGTTTTCTTCCAATTACTTTGTACTCTAACTCAGGGGTTTCAGAACTTTTTGTTCCTATGAGCACATTCTAGAACACATGATTGTAAGTATCTTGATTTTTCAAACAAAAACTGAACCATAATTTAAAGGGAAAAAAATTAGAATCCCTAACGTTTTAGTTTAACAATAAGCAGACATTGCAATACTCTATTTCCTTAGAAATACGAACTCATGAGAACATGAGACGTTCAAGTAAAGTCCCCTCACTCACATGCAGAAAGCTTTCACTTTAAAAAGGGCAATAAATTTGGGGAAGTTTATTTAGGAATGTGTAAATTTCTTGCCATACCATCATATCTAGTGTATTGTTATCAATGCTTAAAGTTAGTTATCCTCGTAGGAAGGAAAATTTGTGTTCTTAAATGTGTGTTAAGTGACAGCAAGTACAATAAGAATGAAATACTGAGATACACTGCTCAAGCATGTCCTATACATCATCTTTCCACAGTATCCACTAATGGGGAGGAAAGCATAACCAGCAACTTTACATTCATCCTTAGGAGTCAGACTCAGGACTCATTTTACCTGAGACACATCTGCTTGATGGCTATAATTATATCAGCAGAGAGCCACAGTCAAAGAGAACGTTCACTCTCACCAAAATTCCCCTAATTTTTTTTTCCACCCACTCATACCCTCATTCTGTTTCGCCCTGAAATTTTCGTCAGCTATACTTTAAGTACATTTGATTTTTTTGATGATAAAAGAACCCCCCCCCCCCATGATCAGAGCTTAAATTGGGCCGGAGCACACCAGATCTCGACTCCGGTGTTTCTTAGTTTTTGTAATAAATCATAATTCTAGCCGGAATGCACCAGAGCCCTGAATAAGAAGGCTGTGGCACTTCTTTTATGTAACTGAATAACTTCAGTAGAAATTTTATTTTCACAAAAAAATTATATTAAAAATCGCTTATTAAATTTCAATTTATCTCTTTACATTTTATTTAATTTTAATAATTTAATTACTTCAATAAATCATAATTAATTATCTAATAATTATCAATTAAATTATAATTAATTAATTATATAATAATATGGATTAAAGAACAATTTATAAATATTAATTTTTAATAGCCATTAATTAATTTGATAATAATTAACTATTTTAATTTAAAAATTATTAATGAGAAAATTAAAAAATCATTAGTCATTTTATTTATTTATTTACTCTTGTTCCTCTTTGCTGACAGTATTCCATAGGGCTCCGACACTTCTAATCTTAGAAATTAAGCCCTGACTTAACAAGAAAAAGATTATGAGATTAAGCCAAAAGAACCTTCTTCAGTAATATCAAGAGCAACTGAATCCCAAAAATGTAATCCTTTATGTATGATGAGATTATACAATATGAATTGCTACATCATACAATAAATTTGAAAAATGGCGGTTTTAAAAACAATAATTGAAGCAATGTGCCCAGAACTGACCAACTGTCCAGGTGTCTTCTATCATGAAAACTGTTGAAAATAGCTGCTTCAGACACACAATTATGCAATGGCTGGGCAGAGTCAACAGAAGGAGTGCCTCTTGTGATTGGATTATTTTTTTATTACTGTCTTTCTTTTTTCTTTAACTGCGAACAAAATGGAAAATTCCCTCAGTATATATACGTGTAAGGTAGAGCAGGGGTTCCCAATCCTATGACCGTGGGCACCATGGTGCCTGCCGATCTTTTGATGGGTGCCCACTGCTGCGGGATCATACTAAAAATGTTTTAGCTTTCAATAAAATTTTATGTGAAAGTTTTCTCATTTTTAATGAAATAACAATAATTTTTATGTGTCATGTTTTATTATTTGAATTAAATATTTTTTTTGCACATTGTGTGCATATATTATTAACTCTATCCAACATCCAACTATAAGTTCACCTTCAAAATGTAAATGGTGCCCGCCATCCAGCAGGTATTTCTAGAATGGGCTCTTAGGGACAAAACGTTTGGAAACCCCTGAGTTAGAGCACCGTTTGGAAACCCCTGAGTTAGTTCACTTGTGTAAAATACCCATATTAAAATCTTGATATTGAATAATCCCTGCTGTGATTATTTCATCTATAACCTGCACGCTGTAACACAGCGAGTTGCAACAATAATATTTGACCCCATATTTCAATGAATGCTAGATAAAGACTATTTAAATATGGGTGGGATGTTTTGTGGAACCTTTCCTATTTGCCAGATATTGCTTCCTCAGAATTTCATCTCCTCAGGTCTCTTTAAAATTCTATGAATGGCCTGCAGTTTACTTCTTTGGAGACTGTCAAATAGCACTTTGATAACTTCTTTATGAATATCTTGAAGAAAAAAGAAGCTGAAGAGAAGCCACAAAAACCAGAAAACAAAATAGTGTTTATGTGATTGAACGAAATTTTCTTATGTTTTTGAGCTGCTTCATTTGTATTTGTCATAAAAAACTCACAGAATTTTTTGGATGATACAAGAAAGGGCAAATAATGAATCATCATCTAGTCATGCACCAACACTGCAGCTCACTGACACTTAAAGCAACAGAAGATTGCCATGCACAATTCTTTGTGACTACACGGCTGCAACAAGATGATACTTTACAATATCCAGTTCATTAAACTTCTGCATATGCTGCTGCATAAAAGAAGACTTGGTCAAATCCTAATGCTAACTGCATTCTATCATCACAAAAAAATGGGCACAAGAACATCAACACTGGTTAATTGGATAACACGCGGGGGGGGGGGGGGGCGTCTGAGCAATCCAAATTTGTGGCACATCATGTAGACAGCAGAGTAAGTATTTGATTTACTACTACAGGCTACATATGGATGTCAGGACCAGTTTAGATATCAGAGCTTTCACAAGGCCACCCAAGTGGTCTTCAGGTTCTAGCTATTTCCTCTTTGGATAATTTTTAATTGCTCATTTAAATGCTTTTATTTCTTGGTTCTGAGTGCCCAACAGCTTAACCAAATACTCAACTTATACTTTTTGATAAGATGATAGATGCTTTAATTAGATATAGATAATTTTTGATAAGATGATAGGCATTTTTTGATAAGATGAGAGATAGTACTTTTAATTTATCAGCAAAATCTGATAAATTTATAATCTCATCAGTTCTGTTTCGGTCTCTATGAGCATCTACAGCTATTCAGTTGTTGATACAGTTTTACAACTGAATAGCTTAAAACAGCTATTCAGTTGTTGATACAGTTTTAGCAATTCAGGAAAAGCATGAAGAGGCTAGCGTAAAAAAGCAACACCATTGGGGAGGACTTTCTAAAGGACTCTAGCTCATATAGACAACAGTTTTTGCCATTTGGACTACTAATGAGATCATCTGCTATTTAGACTTCTCTACTTTATTGTCAAATTCTTAATGTAACTAATAATATTGAACACACTGATGGAGTGATTTAACTGTTCAAGTTTGTCATATGTATTTTTGCTAAATTTTAAAAAAAAAAAAAAAAAAAAAAAAAAAAAAAAAAACCTGCCTTTTCACTATTTTGCATGTTATCTCATCAGGTATATCTGGATTCAATAAATATCCACGAAAGATGTAATTCATTCTTCTCTTTTTTTCTCCCAAATGTATGTTACCAATCAAAATTGATTCAAAACATTTACGTTAAGAAAGATTAAAGCACACAGAGTTTGTTATAAAATCATGAGTTACTTGTTGAAAGCCAAAACATTTTATTGAAATGATGGTTACTTTCAAAATTAAAAAAAAAAAAAAAATAAAGAAATTAATAAAAAAAATTAGAACAGTTGGAAAGGGAAAACATTTCTGATAATAGATATACATATTCAGTCACTTTTATTCCTTTGTAATTAAAATATTTCTTTCAGTTCACTTTAAGGGTGTTTAAAATTCATATGTTCTTAAATTCGCAGCTAACAAATCTTTGTAATAGATTTGATTTCCTTTCAAATCTTGCATTACAGAATGGTTTCAATGTCAACTATAAGTGGCTAAACAGAATTAGTTGGCACATCATATTAAAGAAATTAACTTGAATTACTGAAGACTTTATTGCCTCTACTACAATCAAATTCATGATATCAGAAAAGCAAGGACTAACTATTTCTTAGAATTTCTTAACCTTTTGAAGATGGGATGGCCATTATAGTGGCCATAGAGTCCTCTCTTTGAAACGACGGGGTTGTCCACTTTAGTGGCCATGTCTTTTTCCCCCATTTTCCAGGCTGAAAAGTGGGGTGAAATGTCAAATTTGACGTCCCTGGGGTTTTAACCACTTATCTCTTTCAAAGGTCTTCCTTTTGTGACATAGATGCCCCCTCTGAGAATCCATTAAACTACACACAAGAATCTCTGCTGCAAATAGGAGGTGATTTCTTAAAGGAGGGAAATCATTCGGTTCAAGATTCCCCGTCTTTTGGTAGCCTTTACTGCTACCAAAGCCCCCAAAAGGTTAAAAGAATATGAGCTAAATTGTCATGATTTTTTCTTTTACGTTATTTCCACTGTTATATGACATTTCTGCAAAACAGATAAATTACATGAAAAAGTCAATCAATCAATGTCACATAATAAGCTATTACCGTAAAATATGAGAGAAGATTGTTTATTACACAATTAA